AAACTGAACACCTTGCTAAATGACACTGAGGGATTCCAAATACACACTGAACCTTGGTACAAAACCATGTGACACTTTGAATACAAACTGAACACCTTGGTAAATGACACTGAGGGATTCCAAATACACACTGAACCTTGGTACATAGCCATGTGACACTTTGAATGGTTCATTCCAAGTGCACAATGGATACAATAGCTTGCTTGCAAACAAAAAAAGGTGCTTGTGTTCCACCGAGCCTGGTTGAAACCAGGATAGCACATTGAATTGCCATTTGATAGAGAGATGGCCACACAGCCCTGCCATCTAGTACAAAACATGAATATGACTTCTGTGGCAAAAATGCACTGCCTGTCAGCACTTGTACTTGGAATTTGAACATAAAAATGTCAGAAGAGACAACAGTGACATTCAATGGCCAGAACTGTCGCCTGGCACAAAAACATAAAATATAATTTAAATTGGGCTGTTAGGAATGTTTCTCATGTGTGTGCACTATCAGTCCATCATGTGTTTGTGTTGTGTGTGTGTCACAGAACATACCACAATGTGATTGAAATAGCGCCCTCATGCTACCTATCATACAGAAGTGAGTGCTTTTGTTTTTGATACTTTATCAAATACATACTAGTAAGACACAAAGTCAGTGCTGCAATTCACTGTTCTTATTCAAATATGGTTGTATTCGTCACTGCAATAACACAACGACCACTATTCCAAAGTCAACAAGTCGTTCTGAAGAAGATTGGACATTGTATGACAAATTACATAATAGAAAATATTGTCAAAAACATAATTCCTCACTTTCCCCTCTCCTATGTACCGGTAGTCTTATTAATCAAGCCTCATCTCAGAGTCACCTTCTCTATATTGTAGCAAGTTAGGTATGTTGACCATCTTATTGTGGAATTTAGCTAAATCGCCCTCACGAGTCTAGATGGAATAAACAAATACTGGGTGAATGGATTCTTAATGCAAGACATTGTCAAGACACAGACATTGTCAAGTGAACATGATTTATTTGTATAACATTTTTCCTTCCATTCATTCATTCACCCTGAAATGTTAGCCTCCAAATTCTTGCGAGATGAGTTATGTTCGTTCTGTACTAATTCTAATCAATGAAACCATAGTAAATCAGTCATAAAACAACATACCGTTATATCATAAATTACAAATAAAATCAAAATGAAAGGAATAACTAAAAGCAAATAAGGATTCATGGGAGGTTTTTTTCTGGCACTGTCAATGACAATTGCTAATGTTTGTGAAAATAATAAAATAATGGTTGACCTATAATACCATTTTAGTTAGACTACCTGGGGTTACAATAATGTTTGATGTGTGTTCAGAGAGCCATAGCAATCCCATGGCCCTTTCAAATTTCCTGCAATACTAGCGACAGTTCACAAATGCACTTGCCGTTCTGTTGTTGAAAATGTCTTGAAATACTCCCTGAGGGATTGTTAATATTCTAGAAGAATATCAGAAGCTGCTACTCTGTTCTCGTTTTGGAATTGGATATACAATGAAACAGAACACCCAAAGGGGTAGCGATAATTGTTCAATTTCAGTTGTGTTTGCATATAAACCATTGGAGAACTGATGGAAATTAGTGTTCAAGACATGTTTCCTGTTAGACTATCTAACTGACAGGGGTTATTCTCACCTCTTTAGTAGCCACACTTAGTATTAAACATGTCTGCATCTTCCCATACTTATTATGTTCCTTGAGAAATGACAAGTTCTTAATGTGCATCTAAAAAAGTTTAGTTGTTGAGATGTAGATGTTTATAAAGTAATACATTTCATTATTATTATAAATTGATAGCTTGTCTTTGAGCATGTGTATATTTTTCATTTTGGTATTTTTCCATACAACTCATATTCAAGCACATGGGCGAGGAATTTCTACAAAATCAAATCACTGTATTTGCTTTTACATTTCAGCACAGCATTGATTGATGTGTATAATACTTAGTGGCAATTCTTTGTGGAGTACCTTATTCAAATAACACTCATTATGTGTTTGTACTACATTATTGGGAAAAACTGTGTTTTTGATTTAATATTGTAGAACTTTCATTTTTTTATTTGCCTTGAACAGTTCATCAAAATCCTATCAATGGAAACTCCACAGAATTTATGTTGTTGGAGATTCTGCATCAGCGACAAAATTTGTTTATGTTTTGCTTGTCTTTGTTTTAATATAATTTCTTTGTATAATGTCTTTTAATTTATTCGCATTCATCAATGCTTTTAACTACTGTATCATTTACAGTGACCATAATGGCACAAGAAATGTATCACTCAAAACAAAAATCTGCAAAAGTACATTGTACTTCCTGTAACTTCTAAACAATGTGGGCCATTAATGAATTTGTTTGCATGAACAATAAACTAGGGATAATTAAAAAATAGCCTTTTATTATTATTGATCTGTAATAAGAGTATAACTAGTATACTCTTCATGTTGAAATACTAGAAAGTGTTCATATGCTAATTCCTGCAAATGTATATAAACCCACATTTCACACATTGTGTGTAATTGTCTAATGTTGTCACAACAATGAATCTGCGTAATAATATTAATGCAAGGTAAGTTTTTGGCAACTATAGCCTGTGTTCCTAGAGACAATTTTTAATATATTTTGATAATTCTGTCACAATGTCAGACCTATGTCAGTTCAAATCTTATTATTATAAGTCTTATTACCGGTAATAATCATGTTGGACTGTGGGCAAGAATTAAGACAGAAAAAATTCAGACTCTGATTTTCCAGCATTTGATAGATTTTGGCATTTAGCCCATATTGATATTCTGCAGTGAAAACCATTCTTGCATTATAAATATCTCCATGTTGCCATTTTGAAATTGAGCTGTATTGGCATTTACCAAGATTGGATTGAATAAAAAGAGTCTCAAATTTTCCACTGTAGGAAATGATATGCTAATTTTTGTTTGGTGGTTTCAATAGTCCATCTGATGATAAGGAACTTTGTGTGATTATTTATCCTGGAATATTGTTTGTGAAATTCATA